CTTTTATATTAATTTACATACAAAAAAAATGGGACGTGATACGTTAAAACAAGGTTTATATTTGCAAAATATAGACCAACATTTGCATGCTTAAGATAAATTTATACAAAAGAGGTTTTTATCGCAGACCTGTGTAACTCGATGATTCATTTATTTAATTAAACGTAACAATTAGTTGCAGATGATGATTCCGTTAGATCTGTTGAAAAAACAAGATCGATTTATGACCAAATCGAAAATTCCATACTCATATTTTTGTATGCGGAAGCATTTACAGCAGCAGTTGATTTGGTGCCATCAGAAATACACATTGACTCTATCAGTCTAATGGAGGCCACCACGCGAGTAATAAACATTAGAAATACAAACAGATACATTCCAATATATTTTGAGTATAGAAAAACTGCTTTTGTTGAGTTGAATCCATCGAAAGGAAAAATTGAAGCTCTAGGTCATTGTGACGTTTTGGTGAAAATTATCGCAGCAGAACCGGGAAAAATTAAGAGAAAAATTACTTTCGACCTCTTGTATCCCCATTTACATGTTACTGATGGAAAAGGAATGGAAACAGTTGGTCAGGCTGAAGCATACATTTTGTTCGAACCATCCTTCGTGGTAAAGAAACCTATTCCAAAGATCAACCATGGAATCACTCCCGTCATCACGCACGAAACTGGATTTTTACCAGAAGAAGTCGCTTTTAATACCACTATTTCCTTACCACCTATTGCTATGGGAAGGAGAATTAAAGACGAAGATAAAAATAGCAATATAATAGCCTTTCCCAATGACAGACCTAATTCCCTAAGGCCTCGTCGGAATTTAACTAAAAGGTATAAAGATTAATTTTCAAGGAATAAATAATTAGAAAACGGTCAATATTTTAATACTCACCTATCCGGTGCATCTTTAAAATAAAAACCAATAAGTCTCAATTGAATAGTTACTCTGGTTATATTTATATATAATAGAGGAAGAGCCGGTGATCAATTTTGAGTTGTCATTTCAAAAGTCACCAAAACTTGCCTACTGAATATAATATAATATAAAGAGGGTAGAAAAAAGATTTAATTTTGTTATATTATCAGTCACAAAACTTTGGGAAATTACTTTTAATAATATCTTAAATCCATCAAAAAATCGCCAAAACTTTTTCGGCCCTCCTTACTGTTGACAGAACGCAATAAATATTTATTAAAAATAGCTGTACTTTTGTCATTTCAGTACTCTTAAAATTTGCAGGCAATAAAGAAAATGTATCTGGAAAACGAATTGTATTCTTCTAATTTGCAGAAATCAATAAGCCCATCTCGCTCGCACTCGTATGGTAACATTTTTCGTTCTGGTAGAAGTTTAGTGATATAAATTATTTCTGGCATTATACAATTCGTTTTCCAGATACATTTCTTTTAAAATTTGCAGGCAATAAAGAAAATGTATCTGGAAAACGAATTGTATTCTTCTGATTTGCAGAAATCAATAAGCCCATCTCGCTCGCACTCGTATGGTAACATTTTTCGTTCTGGTAGAAGTTTAGTGATATAAATTATTTCTGGCATTATACAATTCGTTTTCCAGATACATTTCTTTTATTGCCTGCAAATTTTAAGAGTACTGAAATGACAAAAGTACAGCCAGTTTTAATAAATATTTATAGCGTTCTGTCAACAGTTACGAGGGACGAAAAAGTTCTAGCGATTTTTTATGGATTTAAAATATTATTAAAAATAATTTCCCAATGGTTTCTGACTCACGATCTAACAAAATTAAATATTTTCTTCTGCCCTCTTTAAAATTTAAGGGTAGTCTACTCCGGCCATTGGGGGTTGCCAGAAATGGCTTTTATTATCAGACAGGTATTGAATATTCAGTAGGTAAGTTTTGGTGACTTTTGAAATGGCAAGTCAAAATTGGTTACTGGTCCTTGTTCTATGAGTATCCCTAAAAGATTGCGCATGCAGTTGATTTTTTTCTCAAGGTGTACAACAATTTTTGCCAAGCTTCCCAGAAACATGACAAATTGGGACGTATACGATTTATCGGACAAGTTAAAAGAGGATAGAGCAAATGCAAAGACCTACATCAACATGTACGTTAAAAAAAGAAGAGACAGTTTCGTAGAAAAGCAACAGCTTGCCATAAAGATGGAAAAGGAGAAACGCGGTCCAGATTACGAACTTACTGATAAAAATCGCCTGTTGATGAAAAATATGCCAAAGGAACAAAATCCTAATGTGACATTAATAGAACCACACTACAATTCACCCTACAGTAGTATGCTGCCCTTGTCTCCGAAACATCTTCACAATATAAAAGTGCACCCCTCCAAAATTTTTCTAAAACACGTAAGCAATTAAAATAGATGCATTCAAAATAAAAATTGGATACGATCGTAATCACTAATTTATGGGAACTATAAGCTCATTCTCATTTTCGTCACAATTCGCATAAGATCAGTTGATTTAGTACTCCCTCTGTCAGAAAATAGTCCGGTTTTTTACTTACTAGTAGTGGAAGACTATAGACCTTTGAAGTCTTTTTTTAATAAACTTATGTTTATTGTTTGTAGTGGATTTGGGATCTTTGCATTCGTACAATCATGTTCTTCTAGGTGAAATGGGACCCTTATAATAATATTCGGACAGAGGGAGTAACTAGCGAAATGTTTTTATCTGTTGATATCTGATAATGTTCGACATCACCTTATCAATAGAAAAGGAAAATGTCATCAACTTCTTGAGTAGTTTTAACAGAATCTTTTGAAACGTTACTTATTGTTACATGTTTAAACACCATTTTCATACTATTACTACTTCTATTTAACTATTAGCTGTCTAATTAACACTTCTATTATTAATCAGTTATCAATTCACCACCATAAAAACATTTTGTCATTCCTTGGCTCCTTCTTCTTCGCTTTGTATCGCCTTGAACTCTCTGATCTTTACCATTTCACTCAATCTCACGACAAGTATTTATAGAGACTGACAGTGTTCTAGAATGATCCAGTATATGCTGTCTAGAAACCTGCTCTTCTTTACCGCTGTTTATGTTGAGTTGCCTACATACATGTGACATTATTCTTTTATAATGAGAAAACGTATTTTTGCTCCTGTTTATGAGTTCATGATATTAGTCTCAATGATGCAATTTGAAATGTTAGGCATATTCGATAGTGGTACAGGTATTATTAAGGGAAATAAATCGATACTTCGACTAAGTATATTAACTGTCAATTGTGCTAATTAAATAATTTTTAAACGCAGATTTTTGTGAGCAGCTCTGTATTTGAAACAGTCACTGTACAAAACTTGAACAACTTTAGTTTGTGGATTTACCTTAGGACATCCAAGAATTGCCTGACAGTTGTCAACAAAAGTCGAAAATGTGTTCGGGCAAACTCAACCGAGGACTTCGAATTAGAATTTACTGCCCCATCGAAAGCAAAACAAGTCTTTGTCACTATGGAAGTGATTGCCAACGATTGCCATTTTAGTGAGATAGATTTTGCAGCACAGGTCGTCGACATGATGGTGCTCTTAGATCAGACAGAACTGATGTTTGAAAACTCAGAATGCTATAAGATAGTCACCCTTAAAAATTTAGTTTATGCAAAATGTAGTTTTTATTGGAAACTAAACGGTAATCATTTTCGAATTGTGCCCATGACCGGGACAATTCCTCCACTCGGCATCTTAAAATGTGCCGTTTACAGAAAACAATGCGATGATCGGTACCATGATACAGAAGCTCAATTGAATTTCACTTCGAGCTCGTTGTACAGAACGATTTCTTTGAATGTCACGTATACTCCCTTCAATGTGGTGTTACTAAGAAGTAGTTTAACAGTTTCCGACCTTCCTTTAAATATTCCCGAAAAAAGAACTGTCGTTCTCAGGAATTTGGATAGTAGATGCTTATCATTTACCGTTGTTGGCCAAGAAGGCATACCAGGTTTGACCGTATCCCCTAATAGTGGAATCCTTAAATGCAAACAGGATCAAAACATTTCGATATTTTTTCATTTTAAAACGATATGCGAACTGAACTGCAAGTTGCATGTCATTGTGGGACATCAGACAGAACTACATTTAAATATTAACGTCAGCGTCGTGTATCCAAACTATCAAATAGCGCCGAGTGTTATCAATTTCAAGAAGATTGCATGCTTCTCTACAGCGAGAGCTTCATTTACGATAGAGAACAAATGCTCTTGCAGAACCCACTTTCAGTTTCCTTTGATCGATTATCCCACGTATAACGTAAAAGAATCAGACGATTATACTGCTGATATTGTACCTCGAAGCGGAATTTATATTGAACCAGGCGAAAAGAAAAAATTTTACCTGTTTTTCACTCCCGTTGAAGTAAGAACGGTTAAATTCTATTTGCCACTCATTGTAAATGGCATTTTGGGTCCGACATCGATGAACACTGCAGAATCAAAAAACGTCTCGCATTTCTCTCAAAAATACAACGAACTGTACCTTTCTATTAGCAAGTTTCAACTGCCAACAAGTGGTCTTCGCACGCTATCAACGATGACGATCATGTCTGTGGTTACAAATGCTATCCTCAAACTTTCTAAATTTGCCTTTCATTTTGAAAATACCCCAACTGGTCATCCCCAGTCCGCTATGAAGGACATTCTTACCATAACCAATGTAGGTGATACTGAAAACGAGTTTTGCATTAGAACTGACGACACCAAAGACAATATATCAATAGTTTATACGGGTAAGTAATAAATAATAGTTAATGAAGCATGTGCCCATTAGGTCGGTTGGTCGTGGTTGCTGTTGTCACCTCTCGTAGTTTAGTGGTAGAACATTGGTGTGTAAAGCCAAAGGTCCCGGGTTCGATTCCCGGCGGGGCTGTGACAACAGCAACAATTTTTCCCTCATTAATTTGACGTAGTTTGTAGTGGGTAAATAAAAAAATCGAAAGAATGATTTCAAATTAATATTGCATATTAATCCACTATTAAGTAACTAACAATGTCATAGGATTTCGTGTATCCATTAGGTTCTTCTTTCATCACATTCAAAGGTTATCACAGTCCAATTAATTAAATTAATTAAACATACATAAACATTACTTGATCAAGGTCTTCATATTTGTCTACAATTTGTAAAATGATTAATGTACTTTAAATAATTTAGGAAAGGATTGCCCCTTTGAAGCATACGAAAACTCGATTTCTGTCGTTCTGGACGTGGGCCAGGAAATTTCTCTAGATGTTGTGTGCATAAATGAATCTAAAGAAAGCGAAAAGGTTTACGCTCCCATATTTGTAAGACAGTACGAAAAAGGCCCGTTGTACAGATACATATCATTCGAATACATTTATCAGTCCCCAACTATCACCTCAGCTGATGAGATTGTTTTCTTTCCACCCGTACCGCCGTATTGTGGCATTGAGAAAACGATATACCTTCAACTGTCTCACCACGTAATGGCCGAGTGCTATATAACTACCGAAACCGACGTAGATCCGCTAATCGTTACCGTGGGTGACAGAAAAAAACTCAGCGACATCGAAGAAACTGTTCCTGTTACCTTGTTCATTTATTTTAATTCACATCTGGTTGTCGATACCGCCATAAATATTAAATGTTCGTGTGGGGCATCGCTTAAGATTGGAATCAAGGGTTGTGCTGAGAATAGCCTGGTTACAAACAGTCCTTTTATGGCAGTATATGTTGATCCTGGCGATGCAAAAAAGCCCAGAGATGAATACATTATTGACAATCAGGTAAACTTTTACATTTATCTTTAAAGAATCTTTAATGAATCTAAATTATCGCTCCAATTGTTTCTTTTTTCAAATTGTATAAATGCATTGTTTTATACTAGTAGGCATTACAGTTTCCAATCAATCATCATAAGACAGGGCGGCCTTAACTACTGCGAAACCCTCAGACAAAAATTTTCAGTCTCTCTCCAGCCTCTCAGAGTCTTTCAGCGTCTCTGAGNAGATAGTTCCACATTCTCAGGAATTTAGGAAAGTAAAGATGAATGTTTAAAGGTGTAATTCCAACCAGGCAGTTATAAGACCCTGATTTTTTGCGTACGTAAGCAGCCTCTCCCTGGACAAAAAATTTCAGTCTCTCTGCAGTCTCTCAGAGTCTTTCAGCGTCTCTGAGAGCGTCTCTCACAGTCTTTCACAGTCTCAGTTATTGCCTAGGTGTTTTTATGGATCTCACACAGTCTCCGTATGAGAGACTCGACCGATAAAATTGTTAATTCAGAGATTCGAGTCTCTCGTTCAGAGATTCGAGTCTCCTGTTCGGAGATTAGAGTCTCTCGTTCAGATAATGAATACAAAATGAGGATCTCAGAGACGCTAAACAGTTTTTCTAACAGTCTCTCGACAGTCTGTCTCAGTGACACTATAGAGACTCGATGAGACACGGAGACTCGAGTCTCGCTTTCAGAGACTCTGAGAGACTGAACATTTTTATCTCGGGGCTCCGGGCGAGTAGATCTTTTCGAAGTCGTTGTCCTTGTGGAATTAGTTTTAATGATGATACTTGACGAGAAATACAATGTTATTAATAAATAAATTTAGAATTTCTAAATTGTTTATTAGAAACAATAAACGCAAAGATTATTATTTAAAAGAATCAGGGGTTCAGAAATGATGCTTGCAGCTTTCTTAAGTCTCAGAAATTCAAATAAGTATAGCACTATTAGTACCATTAGTTAGTAGCTAATGTTTTCTAATTGGAAAATTAGACGAGAACGCGAGGCTCCGAGCGGTTGCCCAGCTCGCCACCCCGAAAGGCCGCCTCTGAAGCAACTCAAACATACGACGACCTTTAGACCGGAATCAGGACAATATCAGCTTTTACTTTTTGAAAATTTCAGGATTCCTGTTGTAACTTAAACATAGACGAATACTGTGTATTCTTTGGAACTCGGCTTAACATTCAAGATTATTGCTATCCACTCTTTCCCCTGGCATCTCCCGATAATAAGTACTACGAACATATGCAACATATTCTCAGTATATTAGAAAAGGTAATATACGTGCAGGGTTTAAAAGAACGTAAATATATTAAAATTCCTGACGATTTTACGTCGATGCCTCCAAAACTCAGAGCCAATGATCCCAGAAAGGAAGTATCAATAAATTTATACTTGGAGGTAGTTCTGATGAACATCTTCGGAAAACAGATTGTGACTCTTTGGTGTGGCAAAAGGTACACACATACATAGGAGTTAGTGCTATTTGCGAACGTGTCATTTGCGAACAAATCAGATTTAGTGCCACTTGCGAACAGCAATAAGTAGCCTTGGGTTGACCTAGAAATTATATACAATGTAGAAATCTTCCCGAAGTGAGTTAGTTTTAATATGAAATATTCTCAATTTTTTTACCCACTACACACTACCTCAAATTAACGAGGAAAAATTGTTGCTGTCACACCCCCGCCGGGAATCGAACCCCTTTGACCACTAAGCTACGGGTTCGATTCCCGGCAAGGGCGTGACAACAGCAACAATTTTTCCTCATTAATTTGAGGTTATTTGTAGTGGTAAAAATTAATTCACTTTAA